AGAGGGGACATAGAAAGGGAATGGACTGACTATTCTTGGGGGGGAAGGGTTGGGGGGTGAGGGAAGAGATTGGACAATAATCGTGCACCTATGGATTAGGACAGTGGGTGGGGAGTGAGTGTGGAGGGTGGGGTGGGAACTGGGTGGAGGGGAGTTATGATGGGAAAAAAGAGGAACCAATGTAATAGTCTGAACAATAAATATTTAATTTTAAAAAAAAGATTCATGGGTGTAATCAGAAGGGTTAAGAGGAGGAAAAGGCAAAAAAAAATATAATCATGGATGGACTGTTTACTTTCTGGTATCTCTTAAGCACATTCCTAAAGGGAAAGATCACTTTTCTTTTAGAGAAACAAAAATTTCTAGCCCTTTAAATAATGCCACAGGGGTGGACATCCCCCAAAATGTCAGTTTATAGTTTACTAAATGAATGGTTCTCAAATTTTAGTTTTCACCAGCCATTAATATTAAAAAATAAAAACAACACAGAACTGTAAAGGAACCAATAAAGGATTGCCAACATTAGATATGAACATGAAAAATAATGAAAAAAGGTACTATCTCCCAATATCATTATGTTGTAACCATTGACTAAAATCACAACAATTTTAATACCAAATAAAGTATGGAAAACACAATCATGGTATATGATTGTAAGTTATATAATTTTAAAAATACTCATTGCACTGTTTTTTTCTCATTTCACTGCAGATCATTGAACTCTATAGAATAGCACTGGCCAGCAAGCCTTAGTCTTTATTTACTTGGCCAAGGCATACGACATGTGAATGAAGGCCTTTTGGAATAGACTAACACATCCCCCAGCCCAATTTATCAAGCTCAAAACCCCACCATCTTCCCACTAATCTTCAGCAGATAATGGAAGCCATTTGGCAAAACTTGCTCAATCTAACCCCCATCAAAGATTCATCTTTATCCACATTTAGTTTTAGCTCCTTCCCTATGTTTTCCATAGAAAAGGTTTCTTCCAATTGGTTCCTTAGCCTTCTGACTCCTCATGAATGCTAAATCCATCATCAACCCCCTTATTAAGTATAGGGGATTAAAATTCTTCGGCATTCTTCCCACTGAGAGGTGGGATCTATATACCCTTCCCTTACATCTGGCTCTGTGACTGCTTTGACCAATTGCATAGGTAGAAGGGGCAATGGTCCAGCTTCATCTTCATTTCTCTTGGAACAATCTCTCTAGGAGCCCTGGGCTGCTGAAGAAGCTTCAGTTGATGGCCCTGGTAATGTCTTGGACTCTTCTGACTAGACCACCCACAAGTTAAATACTAACAAGTGACCCCAGTTAATGTCATGTAGGCAGAATTGCCTGGCTGAGCCTTGCTTAAATTGTTAACCCATAAAACCATGTATCAAACCAATAAATTCTGGTTGTTTTTTTTTTATGTAGCCTTAGATAACCAGAATATGACCTCTTTCTCTCTTCCAGCTATTTTCTTTTGGAATATAAATATATTAAAGTCTGGCCCAGACTTTTCCAAATTTCCCATTTTACCCTAAATCTCCTTTTATATGCCATTCACCTTTCATTTTATCTTTCATCTATGCTCTGACTTTCATTCTCCATCTTTCTGCAGTGATGCTTCTTCCCTAACCATGCTGTCAGTGTAGGTAGCTAGTTATTGATATAAGGGAGGTAGCTAGTTATTAATATAAGGAAGAAAGCAAAAGGGAGCTAAATCTTAATAAACTGGGAAGCTGAAGCAGCTAGCAGGACAGCATTCCATTAGGTGTACTAGTTCACACACTCTAGGGAACTAGAAATGGACGGGAAAACCTCGCCGGGGTGCTAAAAGCCCAGTACCAGAGAGAGGGGAGGAAATTCCTCTGCTGGGCACATGCGCAATAGAAATGAGATGATGTAATTGAACTTTTGGACACGCTCAATGAGAATCAGGATGATGAAACAGAGGGACAGGGACTAGCCTGGGAACAACTAGAAAGGTAATCCAGTTGGATAAAAGGCATGAAACCCCAATAGAATTTGCTGGGATGAGGCCTGGGAAAAATTAAAAATTGGAGTAGGATAGTTTGACTGGTTCTTTGTTCTTTACCTGAACCAGGAAGATATATGGAGGATTAACAGGAGGCTTGTGACAGTGCTTTAGTGCCTGCCTACCCTCCACTTCACTGAGGGTGTATGAATTCCCCTTAATTCACGAAATCTTGCCATCAGGTTTATACTTCTCCACCCATGTGCCTTTGAAATTCTTTTCTCAGGACAAATAGTGAATTATCACTTCTGACCTTATTTGAACTCTGTGTCATGTGATATTCCTGAATACTCAATACTTTAGGAAACTCCTCCTCTGGTCTCAATACCTCTCCCTCTTGCTTTTCTTCTTATCTTCCTAGTAACTCTTCTTACCTTGATCTCTTCTTGGCTGCCTATGCCTTAAATATTGAGCTTTTCCCCAAGGTTCTCTTCTCTTTGTGTCTCCTTCCTACATGTTTTTCAAAGTCATATCCATCCTACATTCACACTTCAAATAGATGCTGTATGTATCCTGAGAATTTAAGTCTATATTTCTAGCCTAGACCTTTCTCTAGAAGCTAAGGGCCAATTCCTTACTTGATAGCTACCTCCATTCAAACCCAGAGATTTAAATGCAAAACTAAAAAATCACCTCCAACAGTCAGACTGCCATTCCACTGTGCTTCCTAGTCAGTCAATTGTTCCACCATCTACTTGAAAGTTACACTTGACTCCTCCTTCAACCATGTTCATATTGATTCTACCAACTTAATGTATCTAAAGTTGGCTTATTCCTCACTATCCCATTTCTAACACCATAGTCAGGATTATACCATTTCTTATTACAGACTCTTCTGGCCTCCAGACTTAATTCACTCTCAAACATCCTGGTAAAATATTCATCCTATGGTACAAATCTTATCATACACCCCACTCCTTTGCTAAAATCCTTTAGTGCCTCCCCAGTAACTCAGGTTAACTTCAAATTCCTTAACATCTCACACCCAATCCTTACCTACACCTCTAATCTCTTGGCTCTTTCCACTTGTGTCATTATAGTTAACTATATGAAAATACTTGCAGTTTCATAAATTCACTATATAGTCTCATACTACCAGCCTCTGCATCTGATACTCTCCCACATAAAAGTCCTCCTTTATTTCTAAACCAAATTAATAGAACTTTTGGTTGAAAGCTCAATTTAGCTCTCATCTTCTCAAGAAAACTCTTCTTGCCCCCTTATTCTGTCATACGTAACTTTCCTATGTGTTTTCTATGTGTTCCTCTCTATGATAGCATGTGTTAAAACATAGAGTTCTATTTAATAGCTGCGTATATAGAAGTCTGTCTGAACACTAGACTATGATCTCTTTGAAGGCAAGGATTTATTTTTTAATCTGAGTTCTCCACTCATATTATGGCACACAGTAGATATTCATAACTACTTATTGAATAATCAACTGAATGAATGAGTGGTATGTATTTAGTTTTCAGATTTGCTAGTTTCACATAGACTTTTAACAATATTACAAAAAATTATAAAATTCATGAAAGTATTTCATCCTAAAGGGAATAATGCTAAAAGGGCTATATCAAAATTCACCTTCTCAGTTTTTCCTTGCTTGAATGAAGAACAGAAATCTTTTTGCTTGTTTCAAAATCAGAAAATGGCTCCTTTAATTCAAGCCCAATGTCCTTTCTTAGAGACTCAGAGCTAGAAACAAGAGAAAATCATACTATATATTTAAGAGGAAAATTTTTCCGGCAATATTAAATAATAAGCACCAATACACTAATCAAAGGGTGTTTATCTAAATATCTTGTTTCATACAAAATTGCAGTAAATATCAAAGCATGTCACCTTACATATTTGGTGCAGAATATTTTGTTTCAAAATTTCAAAAGAATTTATTATCAAGATCATAAATTCAATGATTGATCAATATTCTAAAATACACAGATAAAGAATAACAGATACAAGCAGGATTAAAATAATCTGACCTCACTGCTTACAACTATCTCAAATTATAAAATTGTATCTAAAGGTGCATTACAATGCTTCTGTCTGCATTGATCAGACCATCAGACCTCAGAGGGAAGGTAGGGGAGGGTGGTTGTAAGGGGGAGAGAGCGACCAAAGGACTTGTATGCATGCATATAAGCCTAATCAATGGACACAGATTCCAGGGGGGTGAGGGCATGAGTGGGGGGGCGGTGCTGGGGGAACAATGGGGGGATAAGGACACATATATAATACCTTAATCAATAAAGAAAAATGGATTAGAGGGCCAAGATATACTATTCCAACTTGATCAGCAAGGGCTGGTTCCAACTGCCCAGGTAGAGTGGCTCAGTTGGTTGAGCATTGTCCTGTACATTGAAAGGTTGCCAGTTCAATTCCTGGCCAGGGCACATACCTGGGTTGCGGGTTTGATCCCCGGTCAGGGCATGTACGGAAGGCAAGAGATCAATGTTTCTCTCTCACCTCTCTCTCTCTCTCTCTCTCTCTCCCTCTCTCTCTCTCTCTCTCTGTACCCCCCTCTTTCCTCTCTCTAAGCATGTCCTCCGATGAGGAAAAAATAATAGAAAAATAAAAATTTGTCAACTAATGGACATTTTCTAGCTCTACCATTTTTCTAGAACTTTTTCAAGCATTTTAATTAACTAATTTGATTGATTTTTATGAAATTTTCCTAAGAAACTTACAAACTAATATTAGCTCCTTTATCCCAAGAGATATAACTTGATTTGAAAATTTACTTGTATTTTTAGTAGGATTCTTAGGAAGAACAAAGATTCAAGATGAGAGAGGCTCAAAAAGCAGTTGCAAATAATGTAAGAAAATCACAAAGCCTTCCAAAACCTTTCCCAACCTCATATCCCAAATAAGGTTTAATACAGTAAATTTCTTTGAGGTTAAAATGTTAAATAAGATCAAGAAAGCTGTTATCTCTGCATTACTTAAGTGATGGCATCTTTGGCTTCACCACATTTATTGGTTGCCAAGTCTCTTCCTTGTTCAAAATAGTAAAATGGCCACATTTCTACAAATAGTGGATTGTCATGTTCTACAAATTCTGGAAGTGATGACTCAAAACTTCCATCATCATCACCCATGTCCTCAGAAAGTATGTCCATTGTTGTAGCCCTATGCTATAAGGCTACATCAAAATTCACTTCTCAGCTTTTCCTAGTTTGAATGAACCTCCTGGAGAATCAACTTAAATTGAAAGGAAAAAATTCACAAAAACTGAATTTTTATAAGCATAATACAATGCTAGCATTAGAAGCAGCAGTTAAACTGCCTATAAACTGCAGATTTGAATACCAGTTCTATCTCTCAGATGGAGGAACAGAAGCAGAGAGAGGAAACTTTTTAAGTGTTATTTTCAATAATTGGGCATATAGGTTAATTAATTCAAAACAGACATCAGGGAGATTAGTAAGTGGGTAACAGCTGAGGCTGCTCTTCTTTGTTTAATTATTGGGGTTTATGTAAAATTTTTGTTTGAAGATAAGCTTCTGCTGTTTTAAAAAAGTTTGAACACCACTACTGTTATTTAGTTTTGATTAGTGATCAACCAGACTCTACTTTAACACATCCAATTATGGGGAACTTACTACCTTATAATTCATCTGGCTCCCCTATAGTCAACTATGATTGTTATGAAATAGTTCCTTATATTTAGCTGAATATTCTGTAATGTGTACCTATAGTCCCAGCTCAGGATTCTAAAATATAGAAAAAATTGCATCCCTACTCCATAAACTAGCCTCTTCTATCTTTTGCATAATCCCCAGCACAGTAAGTTCTCAATAAATTTTAAATAAAATGTATACAGTAAAAACTGCTACTTTGAAAAAGTAAAAAAACAAAAAAAACAAAACTAACCAAGAAAATAGATCGGTAGAAAAACATCCCAGCTGTTCACTACAGGACTTCTGCCGGGGAAATCCAGATTGTTCAGGTCTCATAGAACTTTCATTCTTAACTGGAAGTTTTAAAAGGGGGACCACTTTAATTCTAAAATCACACATACACATCATAATCAACAGCAGTTGTCACTTTTTACTCAACAGATTTTACAAAGCAGTATTTTTAAAAACAGAAAGCAATTTATCAATTTCAATGATGAATCATGAATCCACTCAGGTTAGAAAGCAAAATCAAAGCACTACATACAGTTTACCCCAGGACATTCTCTTACAACCAGACTCTAGAAATTTAGCAATACATTTGTTTGAAACACATTCAACTGAGTTTACTTACTACATTTTTATTTATAGATGAATGGCAGAGATAGAAAATATGTATGAGTCTTCAGTAAGCAGCTACGTTGTCAAAATATGGAATCTGATATTTTTATTGTGTGTGTTTTTTATGATTTTTTGTTTTGTTTTGCTTTGCTTTGTTTTTGCAATTGCTCATTCTCAGAGCAAAGATGAGAAAACTGGAAGCAGATATAGTTAAGACCAATAGAAAGGGTGCTAGACAGGTGGTGATGAGCAGCTGCTCTATTTCTACTAAGAATCATATAAGAATAGGCTCCAGAAAGATCTTCATTCACTACGATAAGCCATTCCAGGAAGAACTCTGAAACTGTAGGGGCTGGGAGCCACTGGAATGTTACAAAACAGACTCACTAATCTTCCCTGAATATTAATAAAGAACATTAAAAAAGAAGGGTATATTGAATCTTATATCGTCTGAAGTATAAGCTTATACAGGATAATCTGAGTCTGTCAGACTCATTTTAAGAAAAATATTACCTTAATTTTAAAAGATTTCCCAGATAGTATCCCAGGCCTAAAAAAACCATAAATAGTCATTGACCAGCAATAATTCCAGTAGAATTTAATTTCAGAAATTGGAAGATATCCTTTTACAAGCCAAATTAAAGCTAATATAATTTCTAAAGTGTTTAGATGTCGGTGATATCTACACTAAAAAAAGAGAAAAATGGTAATTGGCGTACGACGCTACCCTTTTCATTGGCTAATCAGGGCTATATGCAAATTAACTGCCAACTCAGATGGCAGTTAACTGACAACAAAGATGGCGGTTAATTTGCATATGTAGGCACAATGCAGGGAGGCAAAAGGGAAAGCAGGAAGAACCCCCCTGCCACTGACAATGCCTCCCAGCCATGATCAGAGAATCAGGCGCCTTTGCTGCCCTGGCCAGTGATAGCAGGAAGTAGGGGTGGAGCCAGCGATGGGAGCTGGGCACGGTCGAAGCTGGCAGTCCTGGGAGCTAGGGGTCCCTTGCCTGGGCCTAAAGCAGAGCCCACAATCACGGGGCTGCTGCAGCTGTGGGACCCCACTGCCCGGGCCAGATGCCTCGGCCAGAGGCGATAGGCCTGGGCAGGGGCAGAGCGGGAGATCGCGGGGAGCTGGGAGTCCCCTGACCAGGCCTAATGCCTTCAGAATCAGTGATGGGGGTAAATGAGGGTCCCCTGTCAGAGGCGTCAGGCCTGGGCAAGGGGCCAATCCTGCGATTGGAGGGTGATGGGGGTCAACGCCTGAGGGGCTCCCAGTATGTGAGAGGGGGCAGGCTGGGCTGAGGGACACTCCCCCACAGACACACCTAGTGCACGAATTTCGTGCACCGGGCCCCTAGTCTTATCTAATAAAAGAGAAACATGCAAATCAAATTGACCATACCTCTGCTACACTCACAAGCCACGCCCACAAGCGAAGCCCACAAGCCAATCAGGAGCAAGTATGCAAATAAACCCAACCAAGATGGCGGCACCCATGGAGCTGGAGTGAATAGGCCTGGGTTGCCCCTGGCAATGGAGGAAGCCAAGCTTCCTGCCTGCCCTGGCCAACTGTAGACTCCGCTCAAGGCTACAAAGTTTCAATTATAGAAGATAAATCCTAGATACCTGCTTCCAGCTGCTGTGGCCTCCGCTCAAGGAGGGTCTGAAAGTCTGGGTTGCCCAGGGCCATGGCCAGCCTGCAAACAGCCATCAGCCCCTCATCCAGGCTGGCCGGCACCCCAGTGGGGACCCCCACTCTGAAGAGGATGTGGCCAGCCTGAAAACAGCCCTCAGCCCCTCACCCAGGCTGGCCAGGCACCCCAGTGGGGACCCCCACCCAGAAGAGGGTGTGGCCAGCTCAAAAACAGCCTTCAGTCCCTCACCCAGGCTGGCCACGCCCCCCCCAGCAGGGACCCCTCACCCCATGGGGGCATGGCCAGCCTGTAAACTACCACAGGCCCCTTGCCCAGGCTGCCCCATGCCCCAAGGGAACCCACACCCTGATCTGGGACATACTTCAGGGCATACCAGCTGGAACCCACCCATGCACCAGGCTGGAGTGAGCAGGCCAGCAGGGGGGCATTTGGGGCAAGCAGGCCAGCGACGGGTGGCAGTTGGGGGGCGAGCAGGCTGGCAGGCAGAGTGGTTAGGGGCAATCAGGCAGGCAGGCAGGTGAGCGGTTAGGAGCCAGCAGTCCTGGATTGCGAGAGGGATGTCCAACTGCCAGTTTAAGCCCGATCCCTGTAAACCGGCAATAGGACATCCTTCAAGGGGTCCCAGATTGGAGAGGGTGCAGGCCGGGCTGAGGAACACCCCCTCCCCCATGCACTGGGCCACTAATACTATATAATACAATAGAAGTGAAGGGTTTATAAATGTTAGATCAAATTCAAGCACTGATATTATCTATTTCTAAAACAGAAATAATAACCACTCTATTAACTTACAGAAGTAAAATAATTTATATGCAAGTGTTTTTTGCAAAGCACAAAGTATGATATGATTAAAGATAGTGGCCCTGGCTTTTAGACAATCTTATAAGGACATGGCATGATTAATTTAATTTTAATGACTAAGAAATGATGTAGCAGCTAGATTACCAAAACCAAAATAACAATCTCACTATTAATAAATAACCCCTGTGCCTACCACAATGCTATATTGGTCCTGTATAATACATTTTAATCCCAGGAAGAGGCAATTCTTTTCTCCATAGGTATAGAACATGTTTCTATTTATTTATTTACACTTGTTTTCTTCAGACTATGATTGGCAAGGATTATATATTCTTTACAGTACACAGCATATAGTCAATTCTTAGCAAATAAAAGGCACAAGTGATAAACCAACTTTAAAAAATATGAATATAATTTTGTGGTATTTTAAATAGACATTTTCAAACCTTTGCAAATTTGTTTTTCACTCACCAGTATTTGAGAAATATGTTTTCCAGTATTTTACCACAATGCTAAGTTTCTCCATAGTCAGTGGTTCAATTAAAGTAATATCAGCTCCGTACCCTGAAAGGCAACCTAAGAATATTTGTATTAAATACTGATCTATGATTTCTATTTGGAGAAAAAACAAATAATATACCTACTAGGCACATACCTTTAAAATTTTCAGAGATTATAAAAACAAACAGCAAGTGTATATTTTTCTTCCTGCCAAATCTGAGGGGAAAAAATATCAAAGTGAAGCAAAATCATCATTCAAAAACTTGGGATTCAAGTTCTTGTGATTCAACTTAGGAATTGAACTAGAATGATTTTCTTTATTGCTTTAAAATTTAAAGTGGTGGCATTAATATTGAAATTTAGTAAAAGTAGCATCTCAAATCAGTGAGGGAAAGGTAGAACACTTTAACAACTTATAAGGAAAGGAATGTATTTTTATTTCATATAATTGCATACAAAGAAGTCTGAAGTGTGCTGCTGGCTAGGTTGTATAGTATAAGTGCAGGTTACTTGA